TTCTTCCTAAAAACAACGGAGCTTTGGAGGAAGAGATAGAAGCTATTTTCTCAAATTCGTAAGCACAAAAACGAAAAATGCGTAAATTTTGCTGTGGAGCAATGAAATTTTTCAAGATAGGGAGGTTATCTCCGCACCTCTTGCTCTAGCGATACCTCTACATTCAGCCAATAGTATGTTTTCTGGATCGTTATGCAAGATATGTAAATATATACCTTGACATATTGCCTACAGGTTTAGCATTATCAAATTAGAGATAACTTAAAATAAACATAGGTCGATGAAAGCGAAAATTTCGCCACTGGACATATTAGTAAATTCCTTTCAGTAGAGGGCTTAGCGACGTTCGCGTCGCGTTACTTGTTCTTTTAAAGAGATATTATCTCTAACCTCTAATAAACATCCAAGAGTACTGCCTAATAATGGAAGTTGATCACGATCAATCTGACTCGAACAAGCATTATTATCCACAATTGATATATTTGGGATTTATTCAAAGAAAAATAAAACATTATCAATTAGAAATAATTCATATATTTTATGTCGAATAAAAGTATCATATTCCATAATACTATAACCAAGAGCATCATTACCATAAATAATCCAAAGACTTGCTTCAGGTCGAACTAATTTTATACCTAGAGGAAATTCCACACCAACAGCTAATGTACCAAATGCACCTGGATCTAACCAAGTTAATGGTTCTCGTGGACAAAGTAGATAAACAGGTGTAGCTACAAAATCTCCATGATCACTAATTAAAATAGCATTATCTGGTGATTGATTTTCTAATTCTTGTAAAACACGAACTGAATTTAAATGATCTACTGTTAATTCTAATCCTTTTTTTCTACAAAAAAAAAAAAAAAGATAATTTCATTTAAAAAAAAAATGATATTTATCATTACAGATTTGCTTCTTGTTTAATATTATCTTTATCTCTAAGTGATTCAATCCATAAATTAGGAAATTTATAATTTTTTTCTGATGAAATTTTATGTAATCGTACAATAAAATTAGCTGGATCACCATTGATAGTTAATGTTGGTTTCCAAACAAAAACATCACTATTCTAAATAAAATAATAAATATTCAATTAAATCTATTGTTTTTTTTATACTTGATATAAACAAAATGAATTTCGATTAATAATAATAATTTTCGATTTTCTTGAAAGAACTTTTCCATAACCAAGATGAAAATCACAAACAGCTCCTAAAAGAAAAACAAATATTGAAATGATGAAAAGAAAATTTTAATTTTTTAACCAATTGATAGAATAAGATTAGCATTTTTTTATGCTTGTTTACGAGAATGATGAAATTGCATTAGATTATTTCTCCCAAGTAAATATCTTGACATACCACCAAGAAAATATCGAATATCCATTGACTATTAAATAAATATTCAACAAATGAAATCTATTCGATAAAAATTGATTTACTTCAAATGGTTCAACAAGATCACTTGTCGATGTTGGTGGTAGAATACTTTGACTATCTAATAAACCAACTGGCATTTTTTGCTGATCGAAGAAGTTCTGCAACTTTCTCAACTAAATTAAAATGAAAAATAACTTTTTAATCTTTTGATAAAATGAATGTTTACTAGAAAGATTTGATGTATAAGGTATTTCTGGTAGTATTGGTGAACATATTTGTTCATCAAAAGTCCCAGCAAATGTTCCACGTATATAAGTTGATAAATATTTAAATAGAACAAATTGTTTTGTTATTTATTAAATATTTATTGACTAAAAAATTTTCTATTTTGTCAGCTAATGTTTTTGTATTTGGTTTCATATAAACTTCACGTTCAACCAAATGAAAGAGATATGAAACATCAATTGGAAATTCAACGAATACTAGTCCGAAAATAAATTCTTTATTTTTAAAAATTTTTATTATCAATTTTATTTACTTGGAGTTCCTGATTGGACAATAAAAATTCGTTTTCGAAGTAAATATCGAATTTAACGAATACGTTTAACGCTAACTATATATTTACATAATGATTTAAATAATAACATATTTTCAACATTTTCTAATGCACTACATCCTTTGGACACATCAGCAGCACAACCACCGAGTAATACTAATGGACTTTCAGCTATTTGACCATTTTTGTGTACTCAAAAAGTGAGTACACTCTAGAATCTGTCAGTGTCCGGCCGTCCGTTTACACGATAACTTTTGAAAGGAGAGTCAGATTACGATGAAATTTTCTACACAGTTTAGTCTTAACAATGTCTCGGTCGAGGGAAGAAGATGAGCATGATCGGCCGAGTCATTCGTGAGTTATTGGAAAAATTGTCATTTTTCCCTATAGCTTCCTTCATCACCATCGATACACAAAACACGAGGCTTCAATTTGTTTCATCTGATCATAGACCTCTGTCGTTATCTCTTCATTGACTTTCTCATCTTGATCAATAAATTTTAGAAAAAGCCTCGTTCTGGATTACTACAGGTATCATCACTCATTATGCTAACATTTCTATAGCATAGATTTTCACCTATTAGTGAATAATAGGAAAAAAAAACTTGTTAAAAAATTGATAGACAATGGTCTCAAAAGTAGAAAACTTTTCCTGCCTCTTATATAATGATTAGATTTAATATAAATGAGTAGTTACCATCGTTTAGTCGAGAATCAATTTATTTGATAATAGTATTGATCATTTGTCATTATTCTTATTTATTCGTCCTATTTCAAAACGTAGATAAAGAACGGTGCTTGAAGCAAAAGGAAAGAGAAAAGTGTATGCACAATCGAACACAACGAAGGAGAACATATAAGGGATCTATTTCGTTTTATTTATACTATTTTATTAAGATAAATAAGAGATGATTCTTCTTCAGTTAAATCATTAGTCGAATTGTGACAATTATCTAGATAACAAAAATATCTAATCTTGAATTTTATTTAAAAAAAAATACAAATGGCTAATGATAATAACAATCTGAATAATAAATCGTCATCTCATATTATTATTCTATCGCATAGTCATTTAATTAAAATAATCTTTTATTTTATGAAGAGATTTTCTATATTCTCGAATTACATTGCGAACAAAACTTTACTAATACGAGAAAAAATATATTCATTTGACGTTTCAATGATTAATCAATAAAATAAGATTTAATCAATAAAATAAGATTTAATCAATACCGATTTCAAATAAGTATGACGATAGAAACAAAAACGATAAATTAACTAACGATAAGAACTGTTCAATATTAATTGATGAATAGACTAGATAGATATTCAATATCTATTAATTAGCATTAGTGATGCGATCTAAAAAGATCATCAATTTCTATTTCATACATTTTATTTTAAAATAACTGATAAATTCAGAAAGCATTTTTTGAAAGCGCTAAATCATACCTCTTCAAGATCATTTATGGAATTGTAGAATCTTTCTTAAGAGTTTTGCAACAAAAAAGACAAATATACTTTTCGATAGCAACATACTGAAGTATGAATATATAAACGAAGAAATAAATACTCTTATAGTTGAATATGAAATTCGAAATAAACTTTGTATTTTAGAGTCTATCCTATACCTTTTAGATTCATTTTCTCAAATAATTAGAGAAATCTTTTTTAACTAATTTTAATTTTAATTAAATCTTAACTGAATCCTACAAGTGTTCATATGTACTGTAAAATAAATAAATAAATAACAACAGAGTACCATTTATTATTATATATGTCGTATCGAAGTTACATCGGCCATCGAAATTGCAACTTCGATACGACATATATACTAGACAAATGAGAAAACAGAAATAACAATATTCATTCATTCATTGATTCATTCATTCATTTATGCTTTCAATTGATTATCAATGTTGACTAGAGAAAAATGTATGATTGTTTGTATTGACGACATCGGTCAAATAGAATAGATGAATATATCCATATAAATATTGATTTATTCATATATCGAAAATAATAGATCAGTAACAATAAACATGTTCAATTCATGCATTGGATTAAATGATTTACCTGATGAAATCCTTATGATTATTTTCAAAAAAGTCAACAATTTTCATATACTTTATTATTTTCAAGGTGTCAATCAACGACTAAATAAAATTATTCAAGATCCAATTTTTATAAGTCATTTGACTTTTGTTAAATGGTTATCACATCATTTTATCGATCTATTTTATTCTGATATGATACGTAATCGATTTTGTTTACAAATTTTACCTTTGATTCGTCGTAAAATTGAATGGGTTGATCTTGAATCATCATCTATGAAATATGTTTTAAATGCTGCTGATTATCCTAATTTACATACTCTTGGTCTATATAATATTAATCAAGAGTCAGCTCGATGTCTTTGCACTGGTAAGAGATTTTTTCTTATTACAAAAATAAAAATGAAAAATCTATGAAACTTATCATATGAATATATTGATCTTATTTTCATCTTATTAATATATTTAGATAAAAAGGTTTCATCTCATATTTTCAAAGATCAGATTAGAAGACTTTTTATTACAATTGATAATAATAACATAACAAAATTACCAATAATAAACATATTGAATTACATGTTGACTGTTTTCACAAATTTAATTTGTTTAACATTATATGAATCATCGTATAGAAATCGTCTTCTATTATGTTTTGATGATCCACCTCCTACTACTTTTCGTAGTTCAACTCTTTTCAAATTGAATATAAGAGTAGAATTTTTTGAAGATTGTCTTTATCTTCTTGATGGTCGTTTTAATCAACTTCATACGGTCAATGTTGATATGGTAGATGTTTATTATCACGATGAAATTCAAAATCAAGTTTGTTTTATAAGAAAAACTTTTAATATTGTTAAATTATTTTGTTTGAGGGTGATTTACCAAATCTAAAGTATTTTTCTCTGTCATCTGAACAGCTAACATATGATTATAATAAAACAATTCTTCCACTTATCAATCGAATGTCAAATCTAGAGGAACTTGGTTTGTATCTTACAGTCTATGTTAATGAAACATTTATTGATGGAAATCATTTCAAGAAAAACATTATTAATCGAATGTCAAGATTAAATCAATTTAGATTTTCTATTAACTCAATTATATGTATTAAGGCCCCCCCACCACTCAAAAATCGATCTCAGCCCAAGAAAGTTCAAATGGGCTGAAACTTGGAGCATATGTTGGGGCTGAAGTGAGGAGGCTGTGATAAAATTTTCAGCTCGATACCCTAATGTTTGACAGAGATATGAAACAAACAAAGGCCAAAAATAGCTCATTTGGCAATCCATTTTTCTTTGTCCAGGCTCTTTCAATGTATTTAATTTTTCTTTGTTTGAAAGAGCATCTCAGGACGCAGTGCAGTACAGAGTCCTTTTTTTTAAATTCTTACTTTTTTAGCGAAAAAAGGGAATCACAAGTTCAATGACTCAAAAAACGCGCCAAAAATGGGTGTCTAATTACATATATGACTGTATATATAATAAAAAATAAAGCTTAATTAAAAAAAGGACTCTGTACTGCACTGCATCTTGACGTGCTCTTTCAAACAAAAAAAAATTAAAATATATTGAATGAGCCTGGACAGAGAAAAATGGATTGCGCGGTTCAGAAAGCCTAAACTGAGAAAAAACGAAAAACATTTTTCGTTTTTTTTAAAATAAGCATATTTTTCAAGAAGAGCTTAACAAAAATCATCGAAAACTTTGACCAAAAACGAGGTGCCGAAGAAAAACCAATATGATTTCTGAAAGAGCAGAAGACGGGCTATCTTCCGATGCATTTATCTCAATTTCGATAATTTTGACAAAAATTGATTTTTTTTTTGAGTGGGGGGGGGGCCTTAATAATCCAATATATTTTCCAACAACAGAAGATATTCAAGAGACA